CAGCCACTTGTTATTTTCAGCAGCTGCTGACTAGGGGACACCTGGGGCAGAGCAGCTGGGGTGCTGCTGGGTTGGTCCAGTGGCACCCAGAGCGGTGCTACGGGACCAACCGGCAGCGCCCCAGCTGCTGTACCACAGGCGGCCGGAGCAAAGCCGCGGAGCACGGGGGCAGCGGGACAGCCCAGAAGCGTCTGGGCTGTCAGCTGGCCGCGCGTTCCGCCGCCGCTTTGCTTCCTCTCCCTGGTCTGCTCGAGACCAGGGAGAGGAAGTGCCCCGTTCGTAACTGCGGATCCGACATAAGTCGGATCCGCGTAACTCGGGGACTGCCTGTATACGAAGAGGCAATATAAATATAGTTTTAGATTACAGAGGCATTACCTTTTTAGATTGCATTATATTTTTAGATTACAGAGGTATTACCTTTAGTCTGACCCACTATGGCCACTCTTATGAAAGAGTATTCGACTGTTTGTTACAAAATGCATAATAAAGGAGGGAACGCCTATACGACAAAAAGGAACAACAATCTTTGCATGCCTAGAGAACTTTCCATCCAAGGACCTCAAAGTACTTTACTAACATGAGTGAATTAAACCTCACAACAAAGGAATCATCAATATCCATAACTTAAACATGGGGAAAATGAGGCACAGAAATACCACATCATACAAGAAGTCAGAGAGCCAAAAATACAACCTAGATCTTCAGGTATTCATTTATGTGCTTTATGCATAAAATTATGTATATTGTGTTTACAAGTAGGAGTTTAATTCAAATATTTTGAGGGTAGAAAATATTTGTAACTAGAGTCCATACACTTTGAAATATAGTTCTCCTCTAATTTTGGTTCCCATTTCCAAAAACAGTTTTAAATGAAGTACTTGTATCTCAGTACAGCACATAGCATATCCTGATAGAAGTTGCATTCCAAGACCAGTTAAAAAATACCATCAGTGCAACTAATTTCTCAATACCGTAATTCTTTCCAGCCTACTTCAATATTTACATCAGAGAATAAGAGCTATTCTGCTGACCCTTTGCTTGCTTTACACGTTGCAATTTATAAATTGAGTATTACTACTGAGCTTCTCTTCTATTATCAATGGCAATGAAAAAATGAGTCACCGCTCAGACACTGAAAATCAACCCCATCGCATGCTATGTCATTATTCAAATTTCCTTTGAAATGTCTGTATCCTGAAGTACTGTAGCGGATTTCTCAGAGTGCAGGATAGGATTAATTAAAAAAATTCCTAAGGCAAATATGTACATAAAACAAGATTTGTGATATGTTATCAGCAAGGATGCATCAATGGCAGCTCTGCAGACACTTAGAATTGCCTCCGCCTACAGAGGACAACACATGCATCCCTAAATCCAAAGGGGAACTGCCACAAGCTAAGCCACAGCCTTGCTGGCAGGACTTAGGCTATGTCTAGACAGCAAGCCTCTCTTGAAAGAGGCTTTTCTGAAAAAGAGCATCTAAACTACAACCAGTACTTTTAAAAAAGCAAGATGCTTTTTCGTAAGAGAGCACCCAGGCAGTCTGGAAGCTCTCTTTCGAAAAAGCAGTTTGCATTACATAACACCTTTTTTTGAAAGAGCACTTTTGAAAAATAGCGTTCTTTCTTGTAAAACGAGGTTTTTCGCGGTCAAAAAAACTGCCGCGTTCTTTCGATGTACTTTCGAAAGAACATGGCTGCAGTCTAGACGCAGGTAAAGATTTTTTGAAAAAAGGCCACTTTTTAAAAAAAATCCCTATAGTCTAGACACCCTTAATTGATTACCTAGCCCCATTCTCTCCCACCAGCATCTGCAAGCTTTTTACTTGCTGACTATGGCAGCACTGGAAGAGAGTGATGGAGACTACAACACGCTGTTCTACAGTGGCCTGTGATCAACTGTTCCCCATGCCCATTGAGGCCAGGACAAGTAGTAATGGACTTAACCCAGCAAGGAAGATTTACATCAGGCATTAGGAAAAACTTTTTAATTAGAAGGGTAGTTAAGCTCTGGAAGAGGCTTCCAAGAGAGGCTGTGGAATCTCCGTCTTTGGAGGTTTTTAAGAACCAGTTGTACAAACACCTGCCAGGGATGACCTAGATTTGCTTAATTCTGACTCACAGCTGGGGCTGGACTTGATGATTTCTCGAGGTTCGGTGCAGCCCTACATTTCCATGAAATTGGAGTCATTCACATAGCAATTCATTCTTGTTTTTCTTTCCCTGTTGCCTGCACTTACGGTTTTACAAGCTATGGGCCAAGAGCAAGCACAAGCTAATTAAGGGCAAGAAAAAATTAACTTAGAAAGCTGCAGTTGCTATGTCTCCCCACTCCTGGGGACTAAAAGAGGAAAAACAAGAGCCATCGCCAAAGGTCAGGATGATAACTGGCCAGGAAAGGGGAGATTAGGGAATGGGCTGAGGTAGAAGGTGCCATTTGCAGGGCTGGATGGATTAACATAAAGAATGCGAGTGAGGAAGACACAGGAAACTTGGGATGGAGGGCCACGTTTAGGGAGGGAAAGCTCATGATGGGGAAATAGTATCATGTTAGGCTTCAGCAGAAAAGAATCGTCAGCTGGGAGAAGGCGATTAGCTTCCAGGGAGGTTCCAAAGCTTCAGAGGTGAGGGGACAAAGTTGTGGTAAAACCAGCCATTGATACTGGCATTCACTGGAGGGCAACCAGTAGAGTCTGTGGATATTTGTATTGTTATACAAACCTGAGGTGAAATAGCAAGACCACCCAGTGGATCTCCATCCAAGATATCAGTTCCAGCATTATAAACGATAATGTCTGGGCGCAATTCATTTAATGCCCCTTCCACGTGTGTTTGTACCTTCTGAAGATATTCTGTATCCTCTGTTCCCCAGTCCAACTCAACCTTCCGCTTTATGGCTCCTAAAAAATTGGTTTAATAATATTGAATCAAAGAAACAAAAGAATATGCTGGGGGGGAATACAACTTTTAGATCGAAGCAAGAGGAAAACAAAGATTACAATTTATGAAAATTTTGAAAATATACATAACTTAGTAAGATTTTAACTTAAAAACATTTTAGCAACCTTCTCCCAATACCCACAAGTTGCTGGTAAAATAAAAACTACAACCTGGGAACATTTTGTACGTCTGAAAGAGAAACAATCAGGCAAAATGAATAAAAGATGACATATACAGCAGGACGATTATTTAATAACATTTATATTTATCTCATAAATATTCAACAACTGGGAAGGAAATTGGTAAGAATATCTTCAAAGTGACAAAAGACAAAAACCCTGAAAGCAGTAAAAGAAAGATATAAAGAAAATTTAATTGCAGTGCAGGACAAGTGATGGCATAAAAGGCTGATAAAACAAGTATTAAGACAAATTATTAATATTCATTTGTATTACAGCAGCACCCAGAGGCTTCAACCAGAATTAGATTCCCTCTGTATGAATGCCCCAAACTGCTTACCATCAAATATCCTTGTCATGTAATCAGGTGTGTTGGCAAACACTAATTCATGCTAAGTGATTACAGGCAGTCGCGGAGTTACGCGGATCCGACTTATGTCGGATCCGCAGTTACGAACGGGGTTTCCTGCCCGTCTCCCTGGTCTGCTGGAGACCAGCAGACCAGGGAGACGGAGAGCAAAGCCTCTGAGGTCGCCGGCAGCGGGACACGCCCAGACGTGCGTCTAGACAATTTAACTCAAGTAACTACAAATGTGTGGAGCAAAGTTTCGGAAGAAATGCCGGATGAGGACAAGAGAAAGGACACAAAAGAGTCCATACCCTAGCTATGTGCAATGGAAAGAGGATTTTGAATAACTTACAAATATATTAAAGTATTAATAGACAAATCAAAGCCATTTCAGACATTTTTCGGGTTTCATTATCCTGTAGGTGCTGTACAAAACACACTGGAGCATCTGGATCCACTGAATATAAGCACAAATTATAACAATAGATAATAAGCTGTCCTAATAATCTTTGTGAGGCTCATTATTGCATTCCAGTTACTATCCAGCTTTGCAGGTGTTGTTCCTTTCCAACTTTCTTTCATACTTTCATCACAATATCTGTTCTTGTTACATGAATGTTTATAAAATTATGCACAGCTGTATTCAGCATACAATTATGGACAACACTTAGCTCACATTCTGGGGAAACAATACAATAGATGGATGGATTGTGTAAATAGGAGGGAAACAATTAGAAGAGAAAGAAAGATAAGTGTTGTTCTGATTAAACCATTAAATGTCAGTTCAGACAATCATGGGCCCATATCCTACAGTTCTCAAGTACCATGTCCTCATCTTCAATAACTACAACCTAAGATTACAGCGTTTAATTACTCAAATGTGAATACAGGCAGTCCCCGAGTTACGCGGATCCGACTTATGTCGGATCCACAGTTACGAACGGGGCTTTCTCGCCCCAGAGGACAGGAGTGGCGGAACGCCCAGATGCGCCGCGATCCTGCCGCCCGCGTCCTCCGGGGCGAGAAAAGCTGCTCCGCGTCTCCCTGGTGTGCTGGGGGGGAAAGCCCCCCCCAGCACACCAGGGAGACGCTGAGCAAAGCTGCGGAGCACGCGGGCAGCAGGACAGCTCAGACCAGGGAGACCAGGGAGACACGGAGCAAAGCCGCAGAGGACCCGGGCGGCGGGACCGCGGTGTGTCTCGGTCCGCCGCCCGCATCTCCCTGGTCTGCTGGGGGGGGAGGGGGCGCGGCTAGTACGCCCCCCCCCCCCACCGGCTCAG